TATAAAAAAACGAGAATTTTTAGATAATTAATTTGATATTAATATCGATATAATTTTTTAAATTTCTATTATATATTCAAATTTATTTTTATTACACTTTAACATTATCTTTCTCAAAGCCACATAGACAGTATTATATCAATAGAGATAAAAAAAATTAAAATGAAGATGTATCTCGCTGAATTGCACGAATACCCTTCTAGTCTATATAAATATAATTGTTGAAGATCTCAAGTCACATATTAATATAATTTATTACAGTTTCTTAATCATTGTATTTATAGTTTAATTGCAAAATTTAAAAATTGTATAAAATCACTCAGTCATGGGTTCAACTGGTTGCATCTGGTTTTGCTCTGTAGTAGCCACCACTTCGAGTCCCCTTATTGTAAGTTTGCCTCTCTATTAACTTCTTACTCTATTAAATGAATCGTTGTGCATGGAAACTTACTGATGTTGATTTACTTCACTGCTATTTTTACAACTTCTTAAACACATAGTCAGTTTGAAAAACACATCCCAGTGCGCAAATTCTACGCCATTGGACACCCTTTTGCCACCTAACAAGGAATCGGGGTGTTTTTTTTTCCAAGTTCAAATTTGTAAACGAAACAGGTGTTGTCAAGTGTCAGCATTGGTTTAAAACACTTAAATTAAAACAAAACTGAATCAACATTACCAATAATCAAAATTATTAAATCAAAAATACCAAAATAAAATTATAATCAAAATCATGTGATTGAAAATGGTAAATCAATAGTGTTTCACTTAACTCAAAATAAAATAAATAATATAAAAAGATGAAAATACTTTTTTTTCTTCAAAATCTAGCTAATTTTTTATAAAAAATATACTTAATCTATACTATATCGTAAAGTATTTGACAAAAAGTCTTAAAAATTATTTTTTAAGCACGAAATATTGTTTATTGATGCATATTACTTAAAATTCAATATAACAAGTAAATTGTATGTAAGTACAACTTATTAAAGCTTAATGTTTGGATTCGTGTAACTAACTGCAGATAAACATAATCAAATAGAAGTAAAAATTTCATTTTAAATATAAAAAATCTAAAATATAATTAGGATAATTATTGAGTTATAACAAACAACTTAATTGTTATATTTACAGAAAATAATATTATTAAAGAAATACATAAAAAAAGAAAAAATCTTAAATAGTTAGTTTGATACTAATATCAATAACTTTTTTTCAATTTTTTATGATATATCTTCATATTTATATTTTATTCAGAAATAAAAATATTATCGTTTTTTTTCAAAAACCATATAAAACTGTATTATAACATAAACTGAGACAAAAAAACGAAACATTAAAATTAAGATGTATCTCGCTGCATTGTGCGAGTACCCTTCTAGTAATAAATATACGAGGACGATCACGTCAACCAACCCCGGTTTTTAGGCTATGTTTTGCAAGGAATCCACAGCCTCGGTGGGGACGGGTACACCGGGTCGTAACGGTTAACACTGTCTTTGTCAACTTATACCAAATCAATTTTTCTATCCGTGAATTTAATCAAAACCAGACGAACGTAAAAATAAGTGATATGATTGTAAAAATTTAATTACGTGATGAATGAATCTTTTAATTGAAAAAATACGAAAGAATCAAAAGCAAGAAACACATCCGGCTGAAATCGAACCCCACAAATTTGTCCACACCCAATTTTCTAATGCCATTTGTATCTTACTTAGTTTACATCGAGATTTAGTCTTTGTTTACTTCTCCTCGTCTTATAATCTTTTGCCACCTTCATCTTGTCTTATAAACCACCCCTCTCTCATCGCCACCACCACCACCACCAACCACCATGGAAGACGACTACCCAATGCTCACAAAGCTCGAATCAGCATGCTCTGATCTCAAAACCCTTCTCAGTTCATCTGCAAATTTGCAAACAGATCTTACAAAACTAGATACCAACTTTAATGGTCTACAAGAAACTCTAAATGTGGCCTCAAGAAGGTTAGCTCCACTTCATTCGCTTTCGATTGCATCCAAAGCGCTCGAAACACGGATCAACCGTGCCGTTTCACCGGCTCTTGTCCTCATTGACGGTTTCAAGATATCGGAGTCTCTGCAACGGAAACTTGTCGACATTTCGTCCAAACTTTCTGTCCAGAAATCTGAGACCAGGAGGCTCAGGTTACTGATCAAGTATGTTGATTGTGTGGATAAGTTGAATATTGCGATCGATTTGATTAGCCAAGAGGGTGGGCCGGCGATTCAGCGGCTTCAGGAGGTGGTGGAGTTTTTGAGTAGGACTAAGGCCACGGATCAGTTTCGGACGCATCGGTTACGAGAGACTTTGGTTACTTTGAAGATGCTATATGAAACGGAGGTGGATTCGATGAAATTTGATGGGTTGCTTGATGAGGCTTTATTGAATTTGCAAGATGAGTTTGAGGGGATTTTGCATCAATTGAGGCACCATAACATCGGGGTGGAGGATGGCGGTGATGATGATGGTGGAGTGGCGGCAGGGGTGGCGGATTTGGGGACAGAGATGGAGGTTGAAGTTCTTAGACGGATTTCAGAGACGCTTACTGCTAATGATTGCCTGGATATATGTATCGACATCTTTGTCAAGGTAAATCTTCACTACAACAAAATCGACTTCGAAGAACTCAGGTTCACAGAACCTAACAATTGTACATATGTCCTATATAAACGTGTTAAAATAAGTTTATAGCACGCCTTACTAACAAGTTTTTAGGACAATTTTGAAATAGAAGGTCAAATTAGTCTTTTTATACGACATTATTTGAAAAAGTGTCAATGTGTCTACAGGACAATTCAAAAAAATTATACGACATCATTTGAAAAAATTATTTCAAAAGTATCCTAAAAAACTTGTTAGGATGTCCACATATGTCCTAACATCCTAATATAACACTTTTGTTTAGGATCCATAATTCTTTGGTCCTATAAATCCTACAAAAAGTAATTTATTAGGACATTTAGACATCTTTGGTATCCTATAAAACTGATGTTGTTGTACTGCTTTATGCTATGGACCGATCATGCTCATATTTTTCACATGCTTTCGAGTCTCAGAAACCGGCTTTTTCTCTATGAAAGTTGACGTATTTCACGTGTTCTTTCATCAACAGGTGAGGTATAAGAGAGCAGCGAAAGCGCTAATGAGATTGAACCCGGTTTACCTACGGACTTACAATCCCGAAGAAATCGACCAGATGGAATGGGAAAGCTTAGAGACTTCCATAAGTCTCTGGATCCAGCACTTTGAGCTAGCGGTTAAAACGGTTTTCGTATCCGAGAAGAACCTATGCAACCGAGTCCTCGGAAACATCATGGACGGTGTGATCTGGCAAGAATGCTTCGTGAAGATCGCCGACAAGATCATGGCGGTATTCTTCAGGTTCGGGGAAGGAGTTGCCAGAAGTAACAAAGAACCACAAAAGCTCTTCAAGCTCTTGGATATGTTCGATTCTTTGGAACAACTCAAAACCGAGTTCTCCGAGATTTTCGAAGGAGAAGCCGGAGCTGATATCTGCTCTCGGTTCCGGGAGTTGGAGAAGCTTCTCGTTCACGCTTCAACTAAAGTCTACTGGGAATTTGGACTTCAAATCGAAGGTAACCAAGATGGTTTACCTCCTCCACAAGATGGCTCGGTACCAAAGTTGGTACGTTATGCCATTAACTATCTCAAGTACCTAACCACCGATAACTATAGTGAACCGATGGCTCAGGTACTCAGAACCGAACAGATATGGAAGGCCGGAACTCTATTGAAACCCACCGAAAACTTGCTAAAAGAGGCGATTTCGAACGTAATGGAAGCCTTGCAACGAAATATTGAGTCTAAAAGGTCATTCTATAAGGATAAAGTTCTTTACCACGTGTTTACTATGAACACTTACTGGTATATCTACATGAGGACTAGAAACACCGAGCTCGGGAAACTATTGAGTGAGCATTACATGAGAAAGAACTACAAAGTTGTGGCGGAAGAAGCGGCTTACTTGTACGAGAAGCAAGCGTGGGGTGGGTTGGTGAGATTACTTGACAAAGAAGGAACTAATGATGAAGGAATCGAGGCTGGTGCAAAAGGTAAGATCGAGGCATTTCTGAAGGGGTTTGAAGAGATTGCTCAGAGGCATACAAGCAGGTACAGCATCGTTGAAGCCGATTTGCGAGAGCAGATAAAGGAGGCAACTGTTAAGCTTATTGTGCCAGCCTATTCGGACTTTTTGGATGCGTTTTCGACTGTTTTAGCAGTGAAATCGTACTCGTCTCCTGAATCCATTGAGGGGTTGCTAGGAGAGATTTTCTCGGGTAATGGCCGGAATTCGGTAATGGGTTCAAGACAGCGTGAGCTTAAGGAACGGTCTGAAGGGAGAAAATCGATATCGAGTGATATAGATCAGATGCCAGGACGGAGGTCGGTTGGCCGGTTCCAGCGGAACCGATCAAATACCAGTGATCTTTAAAGAGTTGAAATGGTCATACATTACAAACAAGTTCCATCACAAGTTGTGTTGGTGTATGGTAAATTTCCTAAAACATATTCCTCTATGCAGGTAATAATGGAAGATTTTCTGGTAGTAAACTAAGGGGCCATTTGGTTGGGTTTCCATCAAGTCCTGTAGGGATAAAGTCGTCTCTGTGGATTAATCTGTCTGTATAGATTGAAAAGGTTTTTGCTTGGGAGGGTTGTTTCATAGATGAAAGGAGCGTGTTTTTTAATTGGAAGGGGTAGGTTTGGAAAAAAATTGGCTTTCTGCATAACGCTCCACCTATAAGCTTACTAAATAAGCCACTTTTTATATCATTAAGCCACTACCAAACAGTCATGTATAGCTCACCGAATAAGCTGTGAGTCTCATTAAGCTCATTAAGATGCTAACATACAAGCCCTAAGTGTATGCTAAATTTATGGTCATTGGTTGTGTTTGGCAACCAGTACAGGATAGGACGGGACATGACAGAACAAAAACTTATTATCCCACGTCTGGCGTGACAATTAGACTTTGACATTACAGTACTGAGCGGGACAAAAATGCAGTTTTTTGGTCCGACCAAAATAGGTGGTTAAAGAACCGAGATGAGGAAAGATTGGTAAATTACCAAACTACCCATCTCAAACTAAAATCATTTTTTCACCCACCTACCTCACTCTCGCCAATCAGTCCTATCCATTCCTATCTGCATACCCAGTTCTCCAAGTTCACTCCAACTTCAAAAACGTGATCAATCATCTATGTAATCAGCTCTCCTAGCTTAATTTTTCTAATTAAGAAATAGGGGCTAATTTGCTATCAGCAGTTCAAAAACTTCATATCACTAGTGAAGAAGTAACTTACTATGCCGAAGATTTCCAAGCCTTTGTCATCTTTTTACCAAGATATCTAAATCCATGAACAGCTCCAACAGTTATGAAACCAGCCACTGCTTGTCTTGCACTTGAAATCATAACTCTACGCCTCAAAACCTTTTGCATGCACGTTGCAGCCTGCTCTCGTGAGCCGATAGTGATCTTATTTCTAGTTTGACCTGAATGTATAGAAATGATTAGGTGTGAAAATCCCCGTATGGCGGATTGAGCTATCTTTGTTAACGCTAGAGCAAAATCGGTTTTATAGGACCTCAAATATGTATGAATGTCCAAATAGACTGTTTTACAGGCTCTAACAATTGTATGTTCTGTGTAAAGGTGTTGCAATAAGTTGTAAAGTATCTTATCTATATTTGAAAAAGTATCTTATAAAAATACGCGTACCTGCTTCCGTCTCAGCTAGCCCCATTCCCATTTGGCTTCTGACAGACTCGGGAAGGGAAGAAACAATAGATGATGTTGCAGATAAGCTACAATCCTGCCATTCACAAGATAAAAGTCAAGACTTCTTGATGCCCATTTGGCTTTTGACCCAAAGAAAGTTTGCAAATAAGCTACAACCTTGAGCAAGTGAGCATTCACAACATAAAAAAATACACCCTCCCCAAGGATATTTCAAGACTTCCCTTTTCAGGATTGCCAACATGATCAACATTTCCTATTTTGGAAAGTTTTCATGTTAAAAAGTAACTATTTTGGTTATTATCATCATTACAAATAAATTGAGGTCGTTAATTTGGGTCGACAAGATTCCTCTGCTGAGGCCTTACAGCCAGGCACAACAGTGCAATTATCATGGGCACACTCTACCCACTGAGCTAATAGCCCGTCGTGCGATTCCCTCCCCCGAGGGGCCCACCATGCCAAAAGTTCTCTCTCTTGAAAGGTATTTTAGATATCTAGCAAATAGTCAAACAATTTCCTTAAACTATATGTCTAGTCAAGCATTGTGATTTTCATGGGAATGAAGGAGCACAAGACTTTCCCATGCCCCCATTTTGCTTTTATTAGAAATTTTATTATCCTACTAACAAGTATACAAGACAAAGTATACACTCCCAGACAAATCTACACTGGTTTTTGACTTTTGACAGATATCCGGCAATTTATATGTCAAATGTAAAACAGCAAGCATCTAAACAAACAAGGAAATTAAATTAGTATTAAAATGTAGCAAGTCATAATAATGGAACAAGGTGAAGTTTCTACTTTTGGCATTGAAGTACAGAAAAATCAGGACCATAACTACAACAAAATTGGTTTTATAGGACGCCTAAAACGTCTAAGCGTCCTATTAAAATACCTTATAGGACCAAACCAAAAAATGTCCTATCTAAAAGTGTTAAAATAGGTTTATAGGACATGTTTAGGCGTTTTAACAAGTTTTTTAGGACTCTTTTAAAAATAACGTGTCGTATTAGCTATTTTATACGACGTTATTTGAAAATGTGTCCTATAGAAAGATGAGGTTATAGAACACTTCTCAAAAGTGTCCTATAAAATAGCTAATGACACTTCATTTTAACGCATCCTAAAAAGTTTGTTAAAACGCCTAAAAGTGTCCTATAAACCTATTGTAATGCTTTTAGATAGGACGCTTTATTGTTTGGTCCTATAAACTTAAGTTCTATTAAGTATTCTACTAGGACGCTTAGACATTTTAGGGGTCCTATGAAGCCGATTTTGTTGTAGTGACCATATAAATCCAATCACTCTACTGAAACAATTATAGAGATTTTAAGGCTCCAGACAAACCTGGGATATGTTCATTTGATTGTCACCAGATGAGGAGAGTCTCAAGAGTTGCTTAGTTGCATACTCTTCCACCAACGGTTTATACATATTTCTGAATAATTCAAATTGGCCCTCTACTATCTTTTTCACCTGAGGCAGACACAATCTAAGGAAAAACGTTCCACAAAATTTTATGCCAATAATAATAAAAGGGAAAACTTTGTGAGAGAAAAAATTGTAGTGGAGGAGGTACCATACATCTTAACTTTCAGCTCCACTGACCGAACCTTACCTTATTTTTATCCTCTGCAAAAAGCATGCGCAAATCACCCATATATGAGAGGCTGCATATTTTTGCATAAAGTTCCCTCTGCATAAGGATGAATATTAAGATATGCTTAACATAATTTTAGCTAGCTTAATGAGAAACAAAGCAAACCTCTGTAAAAGTTGATGGCAAAAGCAGAAGGGCGGCAGAGGAGGCAGCCCTCAAGTTAACTAAGTTGACATTTTCTATTTCCATATTGTCCACAATTATACGCACCTGAAATAGGAAAAAGGGGAAAAAAATCAAAGCAATATTGATTTAAATGGCAATGTCATTGCAGAACATGATTATGGAGTATCCTAGTAGAAGAACATGACAATCAGAAAACCATTCAGGTGTGCTGAAATACCAAGATCAATTCAATAAATGCATAAACACCAGAATAATAGACTAAACCAAGTTGAAAGTTTCATAGGCCTTCTGTTATACCCTGGTGGCTATTAGTTGTGTTGGCTAGGAGAAGTGAAGGGGTAGAATGGAGAGTAGTTTTAATAAGATTGTAATAGTTAATAGGTGCAGGGGCAATTTTGGAAGTAGGAGTGTTCTGTAACAAGGGGTTAAAAGGGAAAAGTAGCTTTTAAGGGTCTCTTAAATAGGTGTGAGTGGAAGGAAGAAGGCATTCTGTCTTGTGATTAAATTGGTGTGAGCCTTGGGAGAGCCCAGCCTCCCGAATGCTGGTATACCTTCGTGTATTCATCAATTTTGTTAGAGGAAATCATATGGAATTCTAAGAACTAAGGTAAATTGTGTATAAGAGTACATTGCTCTCGTACTTGTTGAAGGAACAAAAGGCAACTAGTACGATATGAACAATGTTGATGTCTCATTGCAAATAACTTCATAATGAGAAAGGGGGTGATGTCAAATTTTCAATCATATGACTCATGTACTTCAAAAGAAAATACAGTTTGATGATTTAAAGATATATGAGCCAGGTACTTGTGGCCTCATGCTCTTGCACATTTTGAACAGAAAAAAGGGGATCTCATATGGACATTGGCCTTGGCTTTTCATTGTGGGAGTCGTTAATTACCGCAAACTAGCCACGTGGTAGGCAAGGTCATAAAGCTATAACCAACAAAAATTAACAATTCCTCTAATCCAATCTACTAATCTAGAATGTTTTGGGTTAAGATTCAACAGACCTTTCTTGTCCCAACTTGCTGTCCTGATATGGAAGTTCCTAAATAGATCTAGATTATCCATTCTTGTCCTCATCTGGATGACTTCCGTGAACCTGGTCCCCTGTCTGTCTGGGTATAGCTATATATTTTCCTCTTGCTCAAACTAGGAACCTTAGACCTTGGTAGCGGTGGTGATGGAGTTGGTGGTATTAATGTTAGACAGTGGGATATAAAGTTTTAAAGTGATTTATGTATTTATTCTGTAGTAGGCTAATCGGAAGAGCTTGAAGCTAAAAGTCGAGATTACATCTGAAGAAATCTCAAGCATGAACATTACTCAAGAATTAGATGAGGAAACCATGAAAAATTCTTGTGATTGGTAGCATATCTTAGGGCCCGTTTGTTTGCAGCTTAATGAGCTTAATGGGACTCAACTTATTTGGTCAGCAATATATGACTGTTTGATATTGGCTTAATGATAAGTGGCTTATTCAGTAAGCTTCTAGAGGAGAGCTTTATGCAAAAAGCCAAGTTTTTTCAGACCTGCCCCTCTCAATTAAAAAACACGCTCTTACTCTTCTATCAATTTCTTAACACACAAGCAGGATGATATTTTGATCTCACTGGTCACTTCTATGTTTGCCAGTACTAGAAAACACAAAAAGCAAACCTTCACAAGTAACAATAACAAGATTTTAGAACATAGCATCTCCCTCCCAAAAATACACGCCATCGCTAGGTTTTTCCCAAGAAGTGTGACCCAAAAAATGTGTCATACACAACAGAAGAGTGAAGTATGAGTAAAGCCTCACAATCTCACATTTAATTTTTGAACTGCACGGATATGTAAATAAAATGGGTCCACACTGTATGGAATAGCACAAAAGAATGAAAAGAGTGATCAGTTAAAAGAAGATATGATCAGCAACAGAAAGTTATGGTTCTTTATTGAATAGCGAGGAAAACAATGAACCCTTGTTTATTGAATAATTTGGTTAAAATAAAGCGCAGACAGGACGCATACAACAACGATATGAGAAAAGATAGCAGTGTCAGCTGAGACATACAGGTTTTTGCAAGCGACCACTAAGGTAAAACCTCTCCCAGCTCAGCATGTCGTGAACTAAGTCATCCATATGAACAACCCCATATTTGTACATCTGTCATGTGTTTTTTGAAAGTTGAAGTAGGTTGAAGACAAAATATGAAATCATATTGGTAATAAATGAGGATGAATACACGAAATGATCGCCATGCAGGTGCCAGTAGCTGTGAGTGCACACACTTGTTAACCATAAATAAAATTGCAATGAGAAATAACTAAAGCTTGACCCATTACAGAAAGCTACCTTATTGTTCCACGAAACAAAAGGGTTAAAGTGTACACCAACACCAATTTGATCTGCTACTTTAGTGATCTATAAAGACAACCAAATCCATATATATAGTAAGTAAAATCTGCAGTGAAATGAAAAAGAGAGGGAGGGAGAGCTTGTGGAAAAGGATGGAGAGAGAAAAAAAAGTAAGAGAGACAACCAGTTTTGCTCCACCAAAAGGCACCATCCATGAAGAGTAGTGATCCCGGTTCATTTTCAGATTCTTGGTTGAAAGGAGAACAAAAGAAGGATAGCATATGTTAAATACTGGACCTATGTTCTCGTAATTGAGCTAAAGTTGCAGGATTGATGGTAACATGTGTAAGACAATACATACCTCGGAATGCCATTGCTGAGGATTTGATACACCAAGAATATAATCTTCCATGGATGACTATAATGCCAAAAGCAACATAAATAAAAAGTCGGCTAGAATTATGAGGCAGCCCCAACTTAAAGAACACTTCTTAATCAAACTTCGAAGTTAAAATATAAGAACAGAAAGAAAAATAACCTTGTCATTATTATTAGGATGGAGACTTGAACCATATACACAGCAAAAGTCTACTGGAGGTAGAATTTTCAGTAAACTCCCAAGACTAGTTTTCATGGCTGTTTACCATATAAAAAGGTAAAATTAGTACATTAAACCAAAGAGAGCAAAACACAAATTATGTTACATCTATCTTTGTCAGGGAAAACCCTAATAGGTGAATTAATTTACTGTTCTTTCTAATTTTCTATATTATTTAAACATGTGTTTGGCAGACTGGTGCTTATAAATATCAGCTTGTAGGAGGATCTCCTTGTTGAATATTTTATAAAAGAATCACTTCCTTCCTATGTGTATCTCTCTACTATCTACCATCGTACTCTACCTTGTGAACCTCCTTCAATTCTTTTTCCATGCTAGATCTATCCCCAATTCTGGATTGCAAGCATGACAAGCTTCAAAAAAGCATGCAAGAGCATATGCCATGCCCTAAAGAGAAGACTCAAAATATATATGAGACTCAGAAAAGAGAGGACTAACAGCTGATAGCCTGATATTTGGATGAAACTAACTCAAATCAACAAGTATAAATTTGACCATATCAAACAAGAAGTTAAGCTAGAATTCCACAAACATCGGTTCATTTCCTTCCACAACTAAAACAAGAATGCATGACGGGCTTGTAACTATTGAAGCTATCACCAAGTAAACCAACAATTCAAGAATGTTCTAACTAATATCATCAATAAATGAACTTATCCCTATAAGCTTAAGTCAGTTAAGTGGTCAATGTCAGTAGCATTATTCAAGAAGAAAATGGAAGATGGAAGAGCTATGAGCAGATTGTCTAGATTATGGTAACTTTTTTAATTTGAGTGCCTGAGGCGGATTAAGTTGTGTGGCAAGTCTAGATATCAACAATCGCCAAATACACACCTAAGTATAAATTCACAATATGGGGTTTCCATTTACTCTCCTAGTCAGTACCTCTGTTCATGAATCTGATGAACCGCTTAAGAACAAGTTAAAGTGACAGAAGCATTTCATCAAGCACTTGAGGTGCAACACAAGATAATGGTTCTGACAAACCACAGAAAATGGTTTGATTGTGAACTAAGAAATCATGTGAAATCAAACGCTGCTGTTGGAGATGATAAATGGGAATGTATCTTACCTTTGGAAACCAAGATTCAAGAATAACAAGGAAAGACAACGATGAAGAAAAAGAAACTGGACTTCAGGTGGGAATTTCATATTTTGATTTGTGTAAATTGTATATGTGGTCCTTAAACTAAAATAATTTGTCACATTTAGTCCTTTCACTTAGGGTTTGTTTCAATAAGTTGTAGTATTTCGCAAAATTGATTCATATTTTGAATTTGGACTTTTTTGAGTCAAAATCAAAATGGACAAGGTAACGAAGTTCTTGTAAGTAGCTAATTTTTCAAAATTAATTATAAAATTATTTCAGTCTTCTAAAAGGTTTGTCACAATAGACATCGCGGCATGATATGGCTCGAAGCTCGTGTCAGATGACATGTTAAGTTTGTGACACGTCATGGTCCGATGTGCGGTTTTGTAACAGGATATCTGATTCTTTTACCTTTCTAATGTCTTACGTTTTAACGTTATGCATATAACCTATCTTTAGTTAATTAATATCATTAATTAAACAACGTTTATTTACTTGTTGCAATCAAGGTCAAAATGGAAAAAATGGATGTTTTTGGAAGATATTTTCGGAGATATTTGAAGTTTTGATAGAAGTCTAAAGTTGACAGTAGATAATGGAATATATATATACGCATACATATATAAACTAGTTTAGTACTCGTGCTTATAAATTTTATTTCAAGCCATAAAAGGGAAATTAATACTCTATGCGTCCTAAAATAACTGTCCACATTTTTATTTATATGTGTCCAAAAATAAGCATCTACTTTCAAAAATAGGTAACTAAATTTCCAAATCTACCGTTAATTAATACACAAATATTTAAGAGTTGATAATATATTATACATTAATTAAGGGTAAAATTGTCATTTGGTTAACTAAAAAGTGTAATAGTTATATATGTCTATAATTGTGTGTCATTTATATTGTGGATACTTATTAAGTTATTGTATAAGATAGTATATACGTACATCAAATTTAAATTGGTGCAGATGGTATCATTTATGCCCCCGTAAACTCACTTCAGGATGTAAAGTTTTAAACATTTAAGTACCCGGGTAACCAGTTAAAGAATAATTTTAGATTTAAAAAAAAAAAACTATTTTTTTAGATTAAAAAAAAAACTCATGTCACTAACCACATCAACAAATAATATTGGGTTGGATACCACATCACTCGTCACATCAACATGATAACCGGTTAATGCTTCAACAGTTACACGGATACTTAAATGTTTAAAACCTTACATCTTAGATACCAAAATAGAAGTTTTAAAAATACGTTACATAAAATAAGAATCAAGTTAAAGTACATTATTTTTTCATGTAATTTAGATGGTAGAGTTGGGTCAAGATATGTTCGGAAAAATAATAATAAAAAATATAAATATAAATATAAATTAAATTAAGATAATGGAAATTTGCTTTTTCTTGACTTTTGGTCATGTGGAACTTTTGCACCTGTAGGGGAATACCGACAATTTCCTTCTGGTAATAAATCGTACACGTCCTTCCCTCAATTGGAGTAATTATGAAATATTTGATAAATATATTTTATTTTTTTAAGATTAAAAGAAGAGTGAAATTACATAATGGTCCTTTTGTTTTGATTTTTAAAATAAATATTTATACTGATGATATTTAACTTTTTCAATTTTTAACATTTAAGATATTGTCAGTTAGGAATTATTAGAAAGGGTAGATCAGTCTTTTAGAAAAACTATAAGGATCAAAAGTGTAATTTACTCTAAAATTAATAATGATTCATATTTTTTAAATTTCTTCATTGAAAATATTTTTAGTACGATTAAAGTGGTTTAAAATATATTATTCAAGATAAACTAGAAGAGTACTTGTGTAATGCAGCGACACACATCTTGATTTCAATGTTTTATTTTATTATTTGTCTCTGTCGATGTTATAATACGATTTTATGTGTTTTTAAGAAAACAATAATTATTTTATTTTTGAATAAAAAATAAATTTCAAGATAACATAAAATTTTGAAAAAAAATATATCAATGTTAATATCAAATCAACTATTTAAAAGTTCTCATTTATTTATGTAATTTCTTTAATTTTTTATTATAATTTAATTTAAATTTAATAACGAAATAATTTATTTTTGGTTTAATAATATATTTTTTTGTAAAGATAATAATTAAGTATTATGTTAGAACTCAATGATTATTCTAATTATATTTTAGATTTTTTATATTTAAAATGAGATGTTTATCATGTATTTAATTATGTTTATCCACAGTTAGTTATACGAATTCATATATGAAGCTTTAATAAGTTATACTTACATATAATTAACTTGCAATTTTAAGTTTTAAGTAATATGCATTAATAAACAGTACTTTACGTATAAAAAGTGGCTTTTAAGAGTTTTTATCAAATGCTTTATAATATAGTATAGATAATTTTTTATATAAAAATAATTATGTTTTAAGAGTTAAAATGTTATAAGATATTATAAAATTAAATTATCAAATAATTGTAAATAAACTACAACGATTCAATTGATATAATAATTAAGGTATTTTCTATTAATCGTATTTAAAAAGTTTTTGAAAAAAAAAAGAAATTTAAAAAAAGAAGTAAATAACATTTTTTAGAGTGAGTTACACTTTTGGTCCCTGTAGTTTTTTTAAATATAGATTTGTTCCTACTAACGGTTGCTAATTGATGATGTTAACTTTAGGAACTTTGAGTGTTATTACATTAAAAAGTAAGGGACTATCATGGTAGATAGTTTGTTTTAGGGACCAAATCTAAATTTTGAGCAACCTACAGGGACCACCAATGTAATTAAATAATATCTGATTTTAGTTCTGATTATTAATTATGCATTGATTACTTTGAGAGGCCAACCCATAAAATATTACTTTTTTTAAATAGATGGATTTGGTTTTTTTAAATAAATCTAAATAAAAATTATATACTTTTGATAAATTATAATCAAATATATTGATTTTTCTATGTATCACAATGCTCTAAGAAACTCGTTGCTATAGTCGTCGTGGCGTGTCGTGGCATAATACTTGTGTGTGACGCTACGTTAAGTATGTGACATGACATGGCCTAATGCGTGATTCTTATAGCACGATATTTGATTTTTCTTACCTTTTAGTTTTAGTGTTCTTTTTTGTTTTTAGCATATTATTTGAAATGTTTATTCTCGTTAATTCAATGAGTAATAGTAGAAAACGAAGGTTTCTACATATAATTTTATATATACTATACAAATTTGTTGGCATAAGTGACGCCTTCAAAAACGACGTGTCCTTGTGGTTTCTAAGAGATTGTTTGACAGTTGCTAAATGGTTTGGTGCAAGATGATTAAGTGGCCAGAATGATTGAAAGAGACTCTTATGATATATGGTTGTTTGGTAATTGTTCATAATGAAATTAGGGCATTAAATGGTTCAAGAAGACCTAAGATAAAAAAATCATTCGAGGGGTTTTAGAACCATTAAGAGATAGATTTTTTTTTTGTCAAACAAGATTCACCTTTTAGTGATTCATAGGTTGTCTCTTAATGAAACTATTAAGAGGTAAACAAACAACCTTTAAAACTAGAGCCTTGATCTCCCCTCATGTCATTTAGAGCCTTGGATTATTTGGCTAAACGTATAGCAATAAATATTATTTTTAAAATAATTGCCTACGTTTTGTTATTTCAAAAAAAGTATATTATACTTTTGATAAATTTTAATTCAAATGTATTTATATTTATTAATTGGTGGAATTTTGATAATAACGATCGTCAGATAAATGCAAATATCAATAAAAACGTGAATTAAGATCGGGATGGAAACATGTGAGTTTATGTGAAATGTTCCAATCACTGATACGTATGCATCACTCATTTTGGAGACACTGCGACATGAATAGATAGTTTATCTGGTTAAAATGTACAGATAAATTACGGAATACTGGCCTTGACAGCAGAAGGCTAGGGTGGCTATAAGGGTAGAGAGTAGGCATGTAGGCTCCTCTACCTTGTATGGAATAAGATAGATAGTTATGTCTCATAGGACAAGACTTTCATGTGTTTTCTTTCTTACTGGTGTTACATACATGTTTACGTTTTTATGTATACTGGTTTGTACTTGTGCACACAATATTGAATCGTTATTCTACCTGATATATATTATTAATTATATGTTATACTGCTTATCTTATTGCCTGCTTGTACACACCTTTCTTTTATGTACAAAGGTATTCACGAAAACAAGTGTGTTATGTGTGTACGTCAATGCATTAATGCATATGTATATTTGTGTACTATATTTGTTATAGATTAGTTATGTGTAACATATGATTTTATTACAAATCAGTTTAATGGTTTATTATTTTAGTCATTTGGTTCATCATGAATCATTCGGAATTTCTTATTCGGTATAACTAAAATGGTATAAAAAAAAAACGAAAATTCAAACCAAATAAGTTATCTTTATTCGAACACCTCCATTTTACGAGAACATGAGAACATCTTTATCACATGTGATAATACACATGAGGTGCCCTGATGGTGTGCGGATGACATGTCCTGCAACCTAAAGATTGTCTGCATCTATGATTTAGTATCACATTTGTATCATATGTGATGAGAATATAGTATCACATGTGACTATCTATAGTAAAATAATGTTCTTGCGTTCTCATAAAATTAAGACCTTTTCGTTTGAACTCTTTCATATATATATATATATATATATATACACACACACACACATACATATGGTTGAGTTCCAATAAGAATGAAAGTTATGGTGAAAAGGGTAAGAAGAGATATTCAACTTGGATCAATCCTAATTGAAGATTAATAGTAATGAGATACACCGAATCAATTCCCATAAAAAACACAACTCAGGAGATGGGGATAAGATTAAAAGTGATTAAGAGTCTAATTCCTTCTCTCACTTCTATTCTGAGACAATTCTTTGTCTACGTATACATACATATATCATAACTGTTGTTGATATTTTACATGAAACCATCGATATAATTATATATATATATATATATATATATATATAAATAAAAGTAGAATACCATTTTATATCTAAAAATGAAAGCAATAAAAGGGAGGGGGGCCGGGTTCATTGGAAGTATGTGTATGTGACCCAGAACCTGATGCCTTATAATCGCACATCATCTTCAATCATGGTCCCTCATCTTCTTGTTTCCGCGTCTCTATCCACACACTCCTTTTTTTTCCATCTTTTATGTCTTTTCCTTTTTCTTTTTTCGTTTTTCAATTATCAGATAATTTATCGTCTTATAAAATCAGTTGCGTTAAGTTACATTTTTATAGAAATATTACCGACTTGTAATACAAGTCACGTCAAAATTTTTATAACGACAAGTTTTATCTAGTCAGATTGAATGATATGATCACTGATTTAAACGTCGTGAACTCAGTTGATTAAATGTCAAATACGATGGTTATAAAAGACTGTGTTACGAGTGGGTAGGGTAGGTAAGGTATTGAGCGTATTTAGAAACGACATAAATGGTGTAGCCTTTTCTAGCGTGGCATGTGTGGACATCATCCACTTATCTTTATCTACGAATGAATTGAAATATCAGTTTTCTTCTTATCGAAATTATGTGTTTTGTATTAAAAGTGAATAAACGTTTTTTTTATAAGTTTTTAGTTTAAATTTCCTGGTAACTGTTTATTTACGAGACGTTGGTTTAATTTATTTTTGTTTATAAGTTTTTTGATTTTTTCATTATTAAGTAGTATTAGATTGACAAGTAAAGATACTATTACAATATTTTTGGTAAATGTTGTATTTTCTTACCACTGTCGCCTTCACCCCTCCAGCACCACCACGATCATCACCAGCCCATCCACCACCACTACCCATCATCGTTGCTACCTTCAACACCGCCATCACCATTGTTATCACTCTCATCTTCACCCCAACCACCACCTCCCCCGCTACTACCACCACCACCATCTACACTACTATCGCATCCACTCCACCACCACTATTCTATTCAACGAACTAAATAGACAGATTCAAACTATTTTAACAGATTTCATTCCAATTCCTACCAACCAAACACATAGTCAAACATGATTTAATTTTTATTCCAATTCCTTTGATAAATCTCTATCTTATATATTATATATACGGGGTCTTATTTTAAGAACTTGCTAATTTGTGAAATCCATAATATTCAATTTAAACTACAAAAAATTAGTTGAAAAATAATCTAATATAAATTAAAAATCTCTTCCTCTCTCCTATTTTCTCTCTCATATCTCCGTTCTTCTCTGTCCATAACATACATGTACATAACAAAACTGAATATGAGCCGAAGATGAATACATTGTGAACATTTTCTTAGAAATACTATTATAATTTGTGAATACACTCCAAATCTACAAGATATGGTATACTTTGTGAATATATTATGACACAAACTAAATCAATAAAACTAAATCTAAGCATAGTTGTGAATACAATGTGAACCTTGATACCTATTCAAAGTAACACGAAAACAAGTATCACGTGCAAAATCATATGTGATTTTACAATCATTTTAAAAGAAAATGTCCGATCGATTGCCACCTCTATCATAATCAACTATCGACCACCATCGTCTATTGCCACCACCACTACCGTTGTTCGCCACCTCCAACTTCTCCTCTAGTACAACAACCTCCTTCACCACCTCCACAACCACCGTCGGCCACTAACTACCACCGTCCATTCCAACCTTTACAACCACCATCGGCCACCGACCACCACCAACCATTACCACCAACACTACCACCGTTGGCCACCTCCAACTCCTTCTATATCGCAACAACCTCTTCCATGACCTCCACACCACCGTCGATCACCAATCAACACTGTCCATTGCCACCTCTACAACCACCACCGTTGGCCACCTCCAACCCCTCCTCTACTGCAACAACCTTCTCTACAACCACCATCGACCACCACCGTTCATTGTTACCTCACCTCCACCATAACCACCACCACCACCATCTTCACTATATCAGCCACAACTACTTCCTCCACCATTATCAACCGCCACCACCATCTTCATGTCATCTATAACCACCTTCGTCCACTAACCACCATTGCCTCTACCTCCATAACCACCGTCGACCACCGATCACCATCGCTCATCGCTGTTACTACCGTCGTCCACCACCACCTCCACCATAACCAAATCCACTCCACCATCACTATTACTAATATTAATTATATCAAAATTTTCATTCAAAATTGGTACCATTATATATGTATGTATTCATTTATATGAAAATTGTATACAAATATTTACAAATTAAATTCTTTAATTCTTTACTTTATATGTGTTATTTAAACATGATATCAGATACAAGTCTTAAGTCACGACCTGTCATGAATATTGCTACAACGAGTGTTTTAAAACACTGAATAAATTGTTATATCATAAACTCATTAACTTGATCCTTGAGAGACTCATTATATATACACTCACACAAAAACCCAATCATAATTGTAATCAATTATCTTAGAAAAAAATACATAAATCCAATTCAGACACCTCTTTGAAAACCAACTTTTTGGATTCAATGAATTACAAGAAAAATATGTTTTGCTTTACTTTTATACCATCAAACAGTCATTGATTTGATCATTGATCAAAAGGTCTCTTTGTTTATTTGTTAAGAAATTGTTTTCTCAATTGTTAAAACCTGTATGAATTAAGTCGTTCTTATTGATAAAGATTTATGTATAAATAAAGATAAATTATTATTTATTTTATGTGTAGAATAAATAGTCTGAATGATATAAATTATCATTTATCCTTCTGTATAGATTAGGTAACCTTATTTTGAGAACTCTCCAAATCGTGAAATCTCTGAAAACTGATGTATCATGTGCTATTTCACATGATTCATTTTCCATCTATGACTATAATTTTAATGTACTGATTAATATATATATTTGTTTCACAACGTGTTTGTTTTACATGTACTCGGTTTACAATGTGGAACTTTTTGACGTGTTTGTGAAACAAAAAATACATGTAAAAAAGTTTTGTGAACTGAGTACATATGAAACAACACATTGTGAAACAAATATATGTTAATAGATACATTGAATACTATACTTAGATGGAAAAGATCGTGTAAAACAAAATCTTGAGTTAAAAGTTCTGAGGGATCTTACAAAATATTAATATGGACAAGCCCTCATTCCCAATAACCAGTTCTTTTTGTGAGGCTAAATTCTTTTTGTAAGGCTGTCTTTTAGAGTTCTCATATGATTAAACCGCTAAAACACCATTTAATCTAACATAACAATATAAATTATTTCTTAACTTGAATTAAAATCAAAACCGTGGTGTACCATAATACATGAACTATTCATAATAAATATTAAAGAAACCAAATGATATTCATTTGTATATCAAAATAAAATACTTATTTTGTATATTTAAAATAAATGAATGGTTGAAGAAGATATGGCAAACAACCATTTGGGGCACGAGCTATCTGATTTAGGGTCATTGTATTAGTTTAAATTATGTAGAGGCTTTATATGTAACAACTAGCTGGTAAAGTTAGCTGTTAACTAATAAATTAGGTAATGACATAATCATGTTTGACAAAAATAGCTGATAAGCTAGTTGAGAAACATAAAATGACAAAGAATGACATATTAAAATTAGTCAATTCTAAAATGAGGCTTTTACGTTTCTCATCTTAACTCTTATTTTCACGGAAATCCAACGGTCTAAACCTTATTCTAAAAAATATATAAAAAAAATAAGGGATTATAGAAGATAACTTTTAAGATAACATTTAAAATATGGAAGCATTTGTTTTGCGCGTGAACAAGGAAAATCGTTGGTGCGTCCCACTGAAAATGGATGATACTTCACTTTGGTCGCTATAAATATTCCAAAACGACATCACTTCTCCATCCCCAAACCAAAATAAGCGGATAATGTTTTCATATCCCATCAGAAATAACGAAAGTACTTGATCTCTCTCTCTCTCTCTCTCTCTCTCTCACACATACACAAAGATGGGCCCCAGTCTTTTGGATGCACTCAACGTCAGAGTCGTCGGCTCCGGCAAGAAATTTCTCCTTCTGGCGCACGGATTAGGCACCGACCAGTCCGTTTGGAGTCGCATTCTTCCCTACTTCCGATCTCACTACAAAGTCATCCTATACGATCTCGTCTGCGCCGGCAGCGTCAACCCTGACTACTTCGATTTCCGACGCTACAACTCTCTTGACGCCTACGTCGATGACCTCCTCCAAATCCTTGATTCGCTCGGCGTCGATCGGTGTTTTTACGTCGGTCACTCGCTTTCGTCAATGATCGGAATCCTTGCCGCCATTCGTCGTCCTGAGCTCTTCTCCAAGCTCATCCTTATCGGTGCTTCTCCAAGGTATTTCTAAATTATGATAAATCTGGTACGGAGATGGAGATTGATACGGTTTATGTGAATGTTGTTCAGTTATGCATTAAATTTTGGTGAATTGTGACAAATGATTATCTAAAAACGAATTTGTTCGGTTTCAATTTTGGAATAATTGTTCCTTTCAGTGAACAGAACAAATATTCCATTGAAGTACCGTGAATTCCTTCAGTTTCAACTTTGATTTATTGACATCTAATTTGCTTCCAACTTCAAAGTTGGATGTTAATCATCACTCGAACCTAATCTGATCTGTGACCTAATTTCAGGTTCTTAAACGATAAAGATTACCACGGCGGATTCGAAGAAGGCGAGATCGAGAAGGTCTTCCTAGCAATGGAGGCAAATTACGAGGCCTGGGTGAACGGATTCGCTCCACTAGCCGTCGGCGCCGACGTACCGGCAGCCGTACGCGAATTCAGCCGGACGTTATTCAACGTTCGGCCAGACATTTCACTCTTCGTCTCTCGAACAGTTTTCAACAGCGATTTGAGAGGAGTACTAGGGTTAGTGAAGGTGCCGTGCTGCATAATCCAAACGGCAAAAGACGTGTCAGTGCCGACATCGGTGGCGATGTATCTAAAGGAACACCTTGGAGGGCGGAACACGGTGGAGATGATGAACGTGGAAGGCCATTTGCCACATCTGAGCGCTCCGGCCTTGTTGGCCCATCATCTGAACAGAGCCCTTTCTAGATGATAAGTTTGCAATTTTTCTTTGTGGGCCTTAATGAGCCTAACTAAATGACTATCTCTATAGTCTATAGTTTTATCCACTTTTAAGAATATTGGCCACAGGTGGTGACACCTGGCGAATACAGTGGACAAATGGGAGAAGGATAATCTTCATTTGATGAGGCGTTTTTACTTTTTATTTGTCCTTGGTGTCGTACGAAAAGTCGAATATCTGATTTTAAGTTGAAGTTTTTGGACGTTTATTTTGGTTTTACAATAATAAATAGCATTGACTAAGGTGCCGTCTACCAGACGTTTATCCGGGTAAGCGTTTATCAAGTCAAGAATTTTATCTGGTAAGAACGAAGACAAGAATCTCAAGTCTTACCCAGAATGTGAAGTCTATGACTTTTACCATGGTTAGCGTTTACCGGGATAAATTGTTGCATACGATGCGTTTTAATGAATAAAATCTTGTCCGATAAGTAAGCGATAGTGTTGAATTTTACTGGTAAGTGCTTATCAGGTAAGCGTTTAGGTAAACGGCCCCTAAAAGCAAATTAATAAACGTCATAGATAAGATATATAGATAAGTTTTTTTATAATTAATAAAAGTAAATTCTAATTTTGGTTCATGAGGTTTATTAAATCTTGCTTTAAAAATAGTGTCCGGTCATTCACTTTCCTTGAAGGCATTATTGTTTTTTCTTTGGTTTCCTTGATTTTATTTTAATTTTTTTTAAAATATATTATCTTATATTATATATTTTCTATTAAAAAGTATTATATTATATATCATCATGATATAATTTATTTATTAAATTATATATATACAGACATTAAAAACTAGATAGAGTTTACGACCGTTAGACCTGTCTTGTAGGGCCCGTTATGAAAGCGGACCTGGATTAGTATTTTCGAAGAAAAGGGTGGGCCTGTGTAGCTTGTTAATATTTTTATAGTTAAAAATGAGAAAAATCCAAAAAAACCAAATGAACTTTCTTGTTTTAAATGATTAAATTTTTGGACAATTTTTTGAATGAATAAGTCATTGGACTTTTGAAAATTTGTTAAATACATCATTATTACTTAAAAATATAACATGAAGCCTGTATATAGTAGGTAAAACTACAAGATTAAAAAAGATCTTGAAATTTCGTTAAGGAACAAGGGGACAGAAGAAGGTTTGATGATGGGGTGGAGATGGTCTTTGAGCGGCGAGTGCTGGTGGTTTTCGTGAGGGAGAATAAAAGGGAGACAGAGAGGCATTCGAAGCCTGATACAGTTTCAAGTGCTGGTAGGGATCAGAGATGGAGGGCGATTCAAGGTAAGGAATTGAGAGAGGAGTAGCCCATGGTAGTTGGCGTCGATGGAGAAGAAGGATCGACTGAAGGATGTTGTTATTTGTGAATGAAGTGGGTGAGACATCGTGGATGAAGTTGTTGGTGGAAGATGGTGGTGTCGCACGGTGGTCGCAGGGAGGTGTAGACCATGATGGCCTGACGACAGGTAGTGGCTTGCAACTAGAGATAGTCATCAATGGTGAATGGAATTGAGGAGCCAGCGATGATGAAGTACGATGAGAGAGAAAGCAGGTTGTTGAAGAAGACGGTAAAAAGATGGAACAGTAAAACTAGGGTTTTACCTTTTTTACATTCCTAAAATAAAAAAAAACTGTTTTTGGTTTTTCAAATTTTTTGAACTTGAGAAAACGAAATTAAAAAAAATAAACAGATAAACACAAATATAAAAAACAAATTAACTCGCATAGCAGGTTGGATATCCAGGTTAATAAAAAAAAGAGTCGAATTTGCCTTCAACTTTTCAAATTCATATAGATAATAAAAGAGAAGATAAAAATGTCCTTCACTCAAGAGACAACTTTCAATGGAGATAGCAATGTGGTACTACTTTCAAAGAAAAATGCAAACCGTAAGTATGATTTCTAGACTAATGAAAGTTCAAGTTCCACTTTCAAACTTTTCAATAAACCTCAGGGACCAACATTAGAATTCACTCACACAATGAACCTTTTTGTCATTTACCCATTCATTCTGCGGCAGCCGCTATTGCCACCATATTCAACTTCTATCAATGAGCATGACTCTTGAAACAGAGGGACTCGTAAACTATTCAACGTCATTTTTTAACGTTGTGTTTTTGAATTTGAAAAAGAAATGAAAGAGACGGAAAATAACGGAAATGGAAAGAAATGAAATGGAAAAAAAATATCATTTATGAAACCGAAATAATTTTTCATATTTTTAAGCCACAGAGAAAACAAAAGAAAAATGTCAATTTCTCAAATATATCAGTTCTATTTGTTTTTCTCATTTTTTTTGTTATAAGAATATTTTTGTCGTAGAAGATCACAAATTCCTTTCAGATTTTTCTCTTTTTCCTCTACATCTGAGAGGAATCATATATGATATAAATATTTTTTTTGTTTTCTTCTTTTTTCGTCCTTCGTTTTTCTTTTCCTTCAAAGATAAGATTTGGGAATCATGGTTTTTTAGTAATTTAAAACTCAATGACTTCCACTGTTACGGAATTTATTCCTAATAATGTATGACTTGACGACTGACGAGTGTTGTGATGAGGGTTTAAGTGTCTTTTTCTTGTATATTCACCTTAAATAAACTAAACGTGTCAGTGTCTTACACCTATTCCTTCAGAAACTCTAGAAATCCATTGGTTTGCTGTCCAAAGCAATTTAGTCATGTTGTTATGTATTGTAACTCTCGTTGATCGTTAAAGAGCGATGCGCTATGTACAAACAAAAACGACATGTATTTTCATTGGCATGGTATGTGATCTTCTTTCATCAAATGAGTCGTTTCGTCGATTCTTGGATCTGTAGTCATGTCATCTAATTCTTTTCAAACTTACGTTAAAGCAATTGAATTTAAGCAAGTAATCATATTTAGCGAAGGTGTCCAAAACTTTGGGTTGCACATTTTATATACATATATAATTAGTGTTTATAGATATATAGATATAGTGTTTGGACGCCATGACAACAACCAACTGACTATTAATATAAAACGAAAATCCCATCAATCAACTCACAACACAATCTTGAACGTCAATGTACAACTTATCGAAGCTAAACAAAATTCAACATAATCGTAATTCAATGATTTGGTGATGGAAAAACCCTAGAACTCAACTAATGCTATCAAGTACCAAAAGGTCATTGACTTAGTGGTAGTACCCAAGTTATTAGTAGAGCCCAACCTCCTAGAAAGTCAAAAGTTCAAATCTCACAAAATGAGAGGCAGAAAAGAAAAAAAAGGAAAGCAACGGAATTTTTTTATTTGTGTTTTTGAGAGCGAAGGGATATGAAGAAAATGAAAAGAAAGAAAAAAAAAATTCTTGAGTAGGAGAGAAATGAAAGAAAATACGTCATTTTTCACTACAACAAAATTGGTTTTATACGACGCCCACAATCTTTAAGTGTCTCAATAGACCGTTTTATATGACTTAATTTATATGACCAAAATATAAAATGTCCTATCTAAAGGTGTTGTAATAAGTTTATATGACGCTTTTGGACATCTTAACAAGTTTTTGAGGACATTTTTAATACAAAATATTGCATTAGCAACTTTATAGGACACTTTTGAGAAATTGTCCTATAAACTCAATTTTTTATTGGACACTTGTTTTTATAGGACAATTTTTCAAATAGTGTCATATAAAGTTGATAATGAGACATTTTACATTGAAAATGTTCTAAAAAACTTATTACGACGTCAAAAAACGTTATATAAACTTATTACAACACCTTTAGATATAACACTTTATTTTTTTGGTCCTATAAAAAGATCTATTATGACACTTAGAATTTGAGAGTGTCCTATAAACCCGATTTTATTGTAGTGTTTCAAATATACTCTCATTTATTTTACAACAGATTGTAATTAGTAGGTGAATGTGTAATTTATTAAAATACTTTTTTAATTGTTATTACTTTTTCCCTCCATTTTCCTCTAAGATTCGGAAAGAAAGTTTGCTAGAAAAATCAACATTATTTTCATTTATTTTCTTAAAAAAAACTCGAGATTACAAGTTTTTTTGTATTTCTTCGTAACAGGTGGGCTCAAGAACACAACGTTAGAGTGGGTTACATATATTGGGTCGGGTCTTAATTGGGCTCTCCAAATCTATTAGCTTTTTAAAATCGGGTCATTAACTGGGCTCACTTTCAATTCTCAAGGGCTTGGATTTAAACCGGGCCTGGCCCAATCCATTTTTATTTATTGAGCTTTCGACAAAAATATTAGGCCCAATCTTATGGTTCTTCTTCTTCGCCTTTTTGTAAGGTCCCGATCGATCTTGATTTTCTGGGATCTAGTACTGACTCGGTCTATATTTTTTGTTGGGGTTTTGTTCATTCTAATGTCGTAACGTATGGACTGTTTTATGTTTTTTTGTTTGTTTTTCTTTTGGTTCAAATGATTAATGATTGACTATTCTAACAGAGTTGACGTCTAATTCTGCATTCGAGCATTTGTGTCAATTTAAAACATGTATTTGTGGGTTTCCTCGATGATCAGATTACGTGCAACTAGATAAATCTAATATGTTTGGTTGCTTTTGTGTTTGTGACTCTTTTTGTATCGATTCAACATCTCCTATCTGATCAAACATTTGTAGTCATTGTGGATCTAAGTCTGGATTTTAATAAGCACTACATTTGAACTGATAATATGTGCTTGATCCATGTGTAACTCAATGATCCGTCCTTAATATTCTTTGAGACCTATTTATAGGACTTAGTTTATAAGACCAAAAAAATAAAGTGTCATATATAAAGACGTTGCAATAAATTTATAAGACGTTTTTTGACGTCGTAATAAGTTTTTTAGGACATTTTTAATATAAAGTGTCCCATTAGCAACTTTATAGAACACTATTTGAAAATTGTTCTATAAAAACAAACGTCCTATAAAAATTTGAGTTTGTAGGACACTTTCTCAAAATTGTCTTATAAAGTTACTAATGCGACATTTTGTAAAAAACTTATTAAGACGTCCAAAAATGTCATATAAACTTATTACAACACCTTTAGATAGGACGCTTTATATTTTGGTCATATAATATAAGTCCTATACAATGGTCTATTGAGACACTTATAAACCCAATTTTATCGTAGTGAAAATACGAAACAAATGGCAACCACGTTTTGAATTTCAACAAATATAATGAACACAAATTCACAAATTGATAGTGAAATAAACGCTAAATGACAAACAAAATTATTTATAAAAAAATAAAAAAGAAGTTTAAATATC